AATTCTATGATTTATCTTCAATACTTACTTGGTTTGATAATTCTATGATTTACCTTCAATACTTACTTGGTTTGATGATACTACCATTCACCTTCAATATTTATTTTGGTCTGATGATACCTTGATTTGATGATACTAAGATTTATCGTCAATACTTATTTGGTGTGATGATACTACTATTCACCTTCAATATTTATTTTGGTCTGATGATACCTTGATTTGATGATACTAAGATTTATCGTCAATACTTATTTGGTGTGATGATACTACGATTTACCTACAATACTTATTTGGTGTGATGATACTACGATTTACCTACAATACTTATTTGGTGTGATGATACTACAATTTAGCTACAATACTGACTTGACTTGATGATACTATGATTTATCTTCAATACTTATTTGGTGTGATTATGATATAATTTATCTTCAAAAATTCTTTGGTTTAATGATACTACCATTCCAAACTTTCAATATTTATTTTGGTCTGATGATACCTTGATTTGATGATACTAAGATTTATCGTCAATACTTATTTGGTGTGATGATACTACGATTTACCTACAATACTTATTTGGTGTGATGATACTACAATTTAGCTACAATACTGACTTGACTTGATGATACTATGATTTATCTTCAATACTTATTTGGTGTGATTATGATATAATTTATCTTCAAAAATTCTTTGGTTTAATGATACTACTATTCACCTTCGATATTTATTTTAGTTTGATAAAACCATGACTTACTTTTAATACTTACTTGGTTTGAATATACTACTATTCACCTTCAATATTTATTTTGGTGTGGTGATACTATGAATAACCTTCAATACTTGTCCGGTTAAATGATTCTATGATTTACTTCCAATACTTACTTGGCCAGTGAAACTTTCCTCTTCTATTCGACGGAGTCGATTATGGCTTGTCATGTGGATGACCCAAACATATGACGGTAATCAGATCCCTGACTCTCTTCCTCTTACCTATCAAAACTATTCCCTCGTCTCCAAATTTCATATATTAACACCACCTTTCTCTAACCTAATACACTTCACTCAATTGTATATACTTTAAGTGTGTGGTTTTTATTTGTACCGTTTTAGTTTAATTTCAATTTATATCTATATATTTATATTTATGTTATATAGAGGCGGATTTACTAGGTTGTTCTTGTTTCCGTATCCATGTTTTGTAATTGATATCATTTCATGTAGAAATAAATAGTTTTTAAATCATAATTTAGAATGACAATACATGCCATAGATAGAAGTAAATATTAATCCTATTTACTATCAGTGGTGTGTCACACTAGTGTCTGTCTTGAAAGTCATCCAACTAGAAGGTATACATCGTACTGTTTCAACTCTTTATAAAATGGTATCAAAAACTAGTATTATGAGACGCTATCTAAATAATAAATACGTTAATATGCCTATTCTAATGATAAGGACTGGTGTATTACTGCATTTCAATATTTAATTTTCTTACAATTTCCATTATTTATTTTAAAGATGGACAGATGTGAGTATCGGTACAGTATAAAGGATGAATTTGAGTCTCAAGATTTTTTTTTATTGAAAATTGATAACTTAACGAGATTTAAATGATAGTCAGGCAAGTTTCTAGTATTTGATAAAGAAATGGTTGAATTACACCACCTGTCATTCGTTACAATCTAAAGGAATGTTTAAGTGTGCGCAGTCTGTATAAATGTGTTTAACATTGATCAAATTTGTTTAGTTTGCGATATCAGTATCCGCTGGGAGAGAACGTTAACTTGTTAACCAACCAACCAACCAAATGCTACGAAAGAAAAAATAGGCTGATGCCCACAATGTCTATTCAGTAGATTATCCCTTCTGCTTGTCCTATACGAAGACCTATTTTTGAATGCTGATTGTATCTCATTTTATGCCATCTGTATTGAGCTACGTAGTAAAAAACAAACAAAAGAATCGAATGACGAAGATTTTGTGCGTCATATTTCATAGTTCATCTTGACCAAACATTAAAAGTACTGTAGTGTTTGAACTGTTTTATTTGTGTTACACGAGGTTCTAGTTAGATATGTATAAATACAACACCTGCTCTGTCGGAATTTTAAACATTCAATTACACATCACTTTATTTAAATTAATCGATTTGGACGTATTACCATAATGTTTGACTTAATTTGTTAAAGAAACGTGTTATTGGTTTCTTAATTGCCAATTCGAGTGTATATTTACCTATACCTTTGATGATGAGTAAAATGTTTCCTTATTGTGGTATGATGGTTCTAAGATAAGATAAGTTCCTCGTACACACCCATTAGAGGCATCATACAACGAATGGTATATTTGAAAAAGGTACTAAAATTACAAAAATTACAAAATGAAACGAAAGGTAGACATTTCTTATAAATGATAATACATGGTAATAATTCACAGGGAAAGTGTTATGATAGGTAACGTGAATGTTCGCTTTTAGCGGATGCTTATATCTTAAACTAGGTAGTTGGATTGAGAATGTGTTATATTTATTATAAATATACATAGTACTAATAGAACATGATTAGGCGGAGAGATGTTAGGGCTACTTGCTATTTGTTTTTACGCTTTGTAAATAAATAGGTAATTCGTTAAAGTAATTCTTAATTTTTCCATATATTCGCAATTTATGTGCGTGGACTGTTTCGTCGTAGATTTAATTGGACGCAGATAGAAAGAGATTTCGAAATTTGGATTTCGTAGCAATTCTAATAGTTGCTTTTTTAGATTATGTGCTGATAATTCATAGTAACTGCAAAGAGTATAAATCGAAGAGTAAGATGAAAGATTAGATTTACCCATGCTTCGACGGAGAGAGTATAGTCAAAGAAAAATACGTCCTAGAGTCTTGAATGATTATTTGTATGATTATTTGGAATTTCCGCTGGAATAACTCGTTGTTAAAGGGTAAACGCCATGTTAGTGGCCCTTCGTGGAACCCAAAGATTAGATTTATAGTTGTAAATTTGTTAACCTGTTGTTTATCCTATTTATCCACTGATTTATTCCTTTTGGTTACAATGCTAGATCCCAAAATCTCAGATCCATATAGGGTAATCTGTTTAACAACACAATGGTACATTTTTAAAAGTAATGGCGTGGTAAGTTGTCCTGACTGGCAAAGCTTCTGGCTTATTGCAAACCATGCTCTGCGGTTGATATGCTGTTTTAAAGCTAGAGTTATCAGATATTATTTTACCTAGATATAGTATAGTATAGTTCATTAAATATTTAGTCTTTTTACTTTTAGGTGAATTATAAAATGTCATTTTGTTTTTGTTTTTTCAATGTTAACATTGAGATGCCAAAGTGAGCAAAATTCGGATAACTGATTAAGTTGTTTCTGCAGGTCGTTTTTATTGTTAACCATTAAAACAAGATCATCAGCAAAAGATAAACGAGTAATAAGTTTAATATTAATATTTAATGTTACCCCCAGGGTTTCTCTTAAATGTTTTTTAAGATCATTGATATAGACATTGAAGAGAACTGGACTCATGTTACAACCCTGTTTCAAGCCTTGTTTTGGTGGTATGACTTTAGAAATTTAATTTC